AAGTTGCCCAGGCGGGTCTTGAACCCGCGGGCTCAGGCAGTCCACTCACCTCAGCCTCCCGAAGGCGTGGGATCACAGGCTGAGCCACTGAGCCCGGCTGTCACTCGCTTTCTTTTCTCAGCTGCTGATTGAGGTGGGTGGGGATGAGGCCGACTGAAGGCCAACATGAATCTGTAGAGAGGAAAGCCAGGACTCTAGCTCCCAGCCCTGGATACTTTTGGCTCCGCCCTATTTGAGCTGGCCCTGTCCTCAGTTTGGCAGAAAGTGATAGCTTCAGTGCCAAATGCTCCCTGTGGATAAAGGAGAGAGCCCTGTCTCTCTGCCATCTTCAGGAAGAAAGGAGAGCCCATGCCCAAACCACTTACTGGCAAGAGGAAGATGTATGGACTGAATGTTAGTATTTCCCCAGAGTTCACATGCTGAAGCCTCTAGCCACACATGTACACCAGGGAAAGGCCAATGTGCGCTACGGCAAGAAGGTAGCTGTCTACAAACCAGGAGGAGAGCCCCTGTCAGCCATTGAACCTGCCAGCATCTTGACCTCAGACTCTAGAAGTGTGAGAAATAAACATCTTTTGTTCAAGTCACCCAGTCTGTGGCATTTTGTTACAGCAGCTCCAGCTGACTAGGGCAGGTGGGGCTTCCAAGATTGGCTTAAACCAACTAGGGCTCCACATTGAAATGCTAATTCCAGGAATGGCACAGGGAGAGTATAAGGAGTACTCACCTGGAGTATCTTGTAGTGCCAAGGAAGCTGTCTAAGAGCTTGTCCCGCTGGCCAAAGATGGGACAGTGAACATCAAAAGAGATAAGGACTGACTCCACTCTGACTTACGCTTCTGGAAGAATTTAAGTAGATCTTTTTCTTGTGCCTCCACTAAGTGCAGTTGTAACCCTGAACATCATATATGAAACAAGCAAGAAGACAGCAATGACAGGTTGGCAAGATCCTCAGGACATGCGGTTCCACACAGCAGGGAATTCTCTGGAATCTGGATCCACTGGGCCAGTCAAGTTGCACATGACACTGACTATCTCAGATCTGCAGAAGTATACAAAAGATCTAACATTCGTGTCATTAGAGTCCCGAAAAGCAAAGAGGAGAGTGGGATAGAAAAAATATTCAAGCCAGGCATGGTGGCTCATGCCTGTAATCCCAGCACTTTGGGAGGCGAAGGCGAGAGAATTGCCAGTCCAGAGGTTTGAGACTAGTCAGGGCAACTTGGCAAGACCTCATCTCTACAATAAGTCAAATTAATTGGCAGGGCGTGGTTGCTCACGCCTATAATCCCAGCACTTTGGGAGGCCGAGGTGAGAGGATTGCCTGAGCCCATGGGTTTGAGAACAGCCTGGTAACTTGGTGAGAACTCATCTCTACAATAAATGAAAAAATTAAGCCGGGCTCGATGGCTCAGCCTGTAATCCCGTGCCTTTGGGAGGCCGAGGTGAGTGAATTGCCTGAGCCCACGGGTTCAAGACCTGCATGGGCAACTTGGCGAGAACTCGTCTCTACAATAAATCAAAAATCAGCCGGGCGTGGTAGCGCGTGCCTGTAATTCTGGCTACTCAGAAGGCTGAGGCGGAAGGATCGCTGGAGCCTAGCAAGTCGAGGCTGCAGTGGCTGAGAGCAGCCGCTGCACTCCAGTCTGGGCAACAGAGTGAGACTCCAACTCAAAAAAAAAAAAAAATTAGCCGGGTGTGGTGGCATATGCCTATAGTTCCAGCTACTTGGAAGGCTGAGGCGGAAGGATCACCTAAGCCCAGCAGGTTGAGGGGCTGCGGTGGCCGTGAGCGTGCCACTGCACTCCAGCCTGGGCAACCGTGAGACTCTAACTCAAAAAAAAAAGTTAGCCAGGCGTGGTGGTACACACCTGTGGTTCCAGCTACTTGGAAGGCAGGTGATAGGATCACCTGAGCCCAGCAGGTCAAAACAGGAGTGGCTGTGAATGTGCCACTGCACTCCAGCCTGGGTGACAGAGTAAGACTCCAACTCAAAAAAAAAAAGAAGTGTTTAGCCGGGTATGGTGGCTCCACACCTGTAATCCCAGCACATTGGGAGGTGGAGGAGAGGATTGCCTGAGCCTATAGGTTCGAAACCCGTCTGGGAACATAGCAAGACCTCATCTCTACAATAAATACAAAAACTAGCTGGGCATGGTGGTGTGCACCTGTACTTCCAGCTATTTGGAACTGAAGCAGAAGGATTGCCTGAGCCCAGCAGGTTGCAGCTGCAGTGGCTGTAAGTTTCCACTGCACTCCAGCCTGGGTGACCGAGACTGAAAAAAAAAAGTATTCAAAGAAATAATCGCTAAAAAATTTCCCCATATGGCACAAGATGTAAACCTAGGAATTCAAGAAGCTAAATGAATCCCACACAAGAAAACCCAAAGAAATCCACCCAGATACATCGTAATCGAACTTCTAAATACTTGAAATCAGCAAGAGAGAAATGACATCTTATCAGCAGGGCAAAAACAATGGAGCTTTTCACCAGAAACCACAGAGGCCAGTAGGAAGAAGCATGTTTTTCAGGCCCTGAAAAAAAAATGTCAATCCTAATTCTACATTCAATGGAAATTACCTCAAGAATAAAGGTGAATCAAGACATTCTCAAATGAAGGACAGATAGGTCACAGCAGCCTTCTTAAAAAATGGAAATGGTGAGCCGGGCTCGGTGGCGCAGCCTGTCATCCCAGCGCTTTGGGAGGCTGAGGTGAGTGGATTGCCTGAGCCTGCCGGTTTGAGACCCGTCTGGGCAACTTGGCGAGACCTCATCTCTACAATAAATCAAAAATTAGCTGGGCGTGGTAGTGCGCACCTGTAGTTCCAGCTATTTGGAAGGCTGAGGCGGAAGGATCGCGGGGCCACTATTTACCTGTAAACTCTGATTTCTTTCCTAGATTCCCGGTGTGAACATCCAAATGCCCAGCTGGATCTGACCACTCCTT